AGACCGTTTGTTGGTTGATCCTTGGCACGACTGGGCCGTGGGCGAGGAGTTGCTGCTCTTCTCTTCTTCTCGCTCAGTAGGGTGTGGACTCGAGGGTTCTGACCCGCACTCAGAGTCCGCTCAGTAGTTCTTTTCCAAGCATCATCATCATTGGGAGCTGTAGGGCACCCTTTCCTCCTTTAGGGGTTTTCTGCTCCTTTGGCTTTGAATTCGTTTGTTTTTTGCCTGGGTCTCCTTGGTACGTCATCTTGCTGGGTACTCTACTTGGGTAGCTGCATCTATCCGAGAGGGGCGGTAGGTAGCCGGCCGATGCCATGGACCAGACTGTGCTGCAGTGAGCTTCACTGGTGCATTCCAGTGGTGCTCCCTGTAGGACGGCCTGGGGCGCCCGCGAGCAGCATAAGACTGCCTACATGGTTCGTCAATTGGTGGATGGATTGTGATGATTCTGCAGCCTGCCTATTCTGTGGGCTACAATCTTCTACTGTGCATACTGCAATGCACTGCAGGTCTTTCAGGGACGATGACATCCTGAAATGTCTTGAACAGTTCTGTAGTTTGTATGTTTCGCGGACCTATACCAAAGAGAGTTACGCTGCCTAAGACAGCACTTGTACGATGAAAGTTGCGAATACAACTTTGCTATTTTTCAGAGTTGAATCGTCGCCATCTGGCTTCATCCTACCTGCACGACGACAAAGGTTTTTGCATACCTCTCAGCTTTGCGAGTATTGCCTAGGAGCTTCGCTGGCTGAGACAAATCAATCTGCTGGTTGCATTTTCCCCTATGAAACTAGGGGTATGCTGGATATTTGCGATGGTATTCTGGAAGTTTTTCCCTGGCCTGCGATGCTTCCCGTATTCCATCGCCGCTTGCCCCCCCTGCTGGGGGGGAACCTGGCTCTTTAACCATCACGGCTTCGTGCTCACTGTTGATAGATATGGTGACGACTCTGTCCATGGAGGCCCTCTGACAAGCTGATCTGAGAGGACGCTGAGAGAGGCACAAGTTGTAGCCCTGCTGTCTTGTACAGCTCGGCGCATCTCTGCCTGAGTAGACATACAAGCTGGCTAAAGCCTTCATGTTTGCCCGAATGCCGTGATTCTTAATTCATTGGCACGTTTTTGAGAGCGATGCAGTGGACAAGCCACTGTGTCCCCTGGGAAATCGATTTTTGTGGGTGTTCTGTTTGGGCTCTGGCCCCGTTTTTTGTTGTTTTTGGTGCTTTGCTGTTTGCTTCGCTGTTTCCGCTGGCGAAACGCAAGTCTGGCTGGGGGATTTGCGGGTCGTCGTGTTTTGGTTGCTTTCTGTGGTTTTTGTGTGTTGTATTATTCGATTTGCCTGCTCAAAATGGACATGTTATGTCCTTGTACAAACGTCTTTCCAACAGCTTATGCTCATGTAAGGACCGAGCCTTTAGCGCGACATCGGCCACACTCGAAGGAAAAAAAATCGAGTTAGCGATGATCGCTAGCTCGACAGCATTGATGCAGGCTTGCAAGCGTGGAGTTCCTTCAGCGGTGCAGTCAGTTGTCTTCGGTGCGGTCGGTTGACATGGTTGCTGGCTCAGTCACATTGATACAAAGATGCGGGCGTTTTTCTCTGGACAGGGGCCAGGTCTGTCATCGAAGTGTTCAGCCGAGGTCCTAGACGGGTAACTTGTGTCAGCTGTGTTGAGGTTCTCTGTCGGGTAGTGTTGTACGCTCGCTTGCATGAGCTGTTGCTGTCGCTTATAACTTCACGTTCTGTTACATTGGCTCGGGCCTCTACACGGATGCGCAGACTCTTTAGGCAACAGCAAGCCGTGCACTTATTGCGTAAACCATGAACACCCCAGCGCCGGTACGCCCGTGCAGTTCCAGTAGTCTCAAACGGTTAACGTGGGGTACCCACAGTTGCCACACACAACGAGTGACCACTGTGTAACACAGGTGCTGTCACCAGGGGTATCCATGGTTGACTGCCGCTGCACATCGATGGTGCCGTTCGGCAATATTGTATTCATCGATCTGCAACACTCCAGGAACTCGACGACATGTTAAAAGAATACGACATGAAAAGAGACTGTAGAAATAAATCACAACGCCCCAACAGTCTCACAACGCAGTGTGGAACCGGAAATACATGGAACCGAAGCCAGGATACACACTGCGGCAACTGTGGGAGATTCCGAGCCGGCCATTGGACAGAAATCTTCCTCTTCTTACGAAGTCAAAGAGGGTGACATTTGCCGTGCATCTGCGGCTTAATTTCTGGGGTGATGCATCTAACTTGGCCATCTATGACACGCGTGTGCGATTCAGATCGGTCAAACGATGCTGTGACTGAAAAGCCGAGGTATAGTTCTCTAAACCAGTATTCCTTGAGGAACATAAGGGAAAGATGAGGTGCCCTCACTTCCAATACGTTTTTTTCCGTCCAACGCCTTCATGGCTTCCGCCAGGTCGTTCAACATGTTTCAGAGCATGTTGCAATTGGGATTAATGAACTAATTAAGTCACGCAAAGGCCGTTGCTGTAGTGGCCGCAAAAGTAAACTGGTGGAGGACTGATACATAGTCCTATGTACTGTCACGTTCATCCAGAAAACAAAACAAAGCACCAAGAAACAAAGAAACAAAACACAAAAACAAAACCAAACACAAACAGAACACAAACACACAAAAACAAAAGCAAACAAACCAAAAAAACAACACGAACCACCGAGCAGTGACGTGACAGTTCCAGTTTATGGGTGAAAAAGATCAATTAGAGCAAGAGGTGATAGCTTAGTATCATGGTGCATGCAAAATGACATCTTGTGTGCCATGTTGGCGCTGGCCCATACAATAAATAAAAACAAGACCCGCTACAAAAACACCATGGGCCAATTCAGAGGGTGTGGGAAGCAACAAAGCTCAATGCGGAAACCAGGGATCCCCCCAGCCAGGATCCCCGAGATCACAAAGAGCAGCCTTCACGGCATGACATTCACTTCCAATACGTGCGTTGCGGGTATCAGGAAGGTTACTAGCCATTCTGCCAAAAATTCGATCATCCTTGCCTCAAGCTTTGGGAGGATTTTCTGGACAGCACTCCCTGTCTCGATGTCTGGGGCGTGTGTTGCTAATCCTACTGTTCGTGGCATAATTCGTCAGCAAGTAGAGTCGGCACAATTTGGAGACCCACTGGCTTGGTTTCTCCATATCTATTGTGATCTTAGCCAGGGGCCAGTGATCTCGGGGATCCTGGCTGGGGGATCCCTGGTTTCTGCATTGAGCTTTGTTGCTTTTTTCACTCTCTGATTTGGTCCCTGGTGTTTTTGTCGTGTTTCTCTGTTTTGCTTCTTGTTAAGGGCCATTATCATCATGTTTTTTTGTTTGGTTGTTTTGTCTTTGCGTGGTGTGGTTTGTTTTGTGTCTTTGGTTTTCTTGCTGGGATTGCATACTGGACTGCGTACAGGTCCATTATCAGTACTTTTGTGGCTATCGACAATTGACAGCCTTGCACGGAAATTTCAATTCATCTTTTGCTACGATCGAACGTGTGTAACGACCTGGCGAAAGCCATGAAGGCGTTGAACGGAAAAAAAGATCTTAGCCAGGAGCTATGGGTCAGGCAGCGTGGACAGGCAATGCAGTAACTCGGAGGTCAGTTCTGGAGATATTACTGGGAGCGCTCCTCCTTGTGGTCGATAATCTGCGGTTGCACCTGCTGTGCCTTTGCTCATTTGTGTGTGGATGCGGGCCTTGTGCACTTCTTGTATGGTGGACTCATATTGGTTGACCATAGCTCGTAGATACTTACATGCGCGGACCGCTGCCCTCCTTGTATTGGGTCCATCTTCCGCCTGATTCTTGGCGGCTGTCCAAGGATGTCTCTCGCTTCTTCTTCTGGCGACCGGGTACCAGCGGAAGGTGTAGCAGGAGCGATATCCCGGACTGGCGCTTCTTTGGTGCGTGGTAGGTCGCTGGGGATTGGTAGTGTTGGATGTACCCGCCATCCATCAAAGAAGTACATACCTGGCAAGGGTAGGATTTTCTGTTCAGGGTCCTGCTTCGTGTACAGCTTGGCTCATGCTAGGGTAAACTCCCAAGCTAAGGCCTTCATGTCTGCCTGAACAGCCGTGATCCCTAATTCATTTGGCATGTTTTTGATCGTGATGCAGTGGTCATACCACTGCGTCCAATGGCAAATCGATTCGGTGGGTGTTTTTGTTTGGGCTCCGGCCCCGTTTTTTTGTGGGTTTTGCTTTGTTTTCTGCTGTTGCTTCGCTGTTTCCGCTGGCGAAACGCAAGTCTGGCTGGGGGATTTGCGGGTCGTCGTTTTTGTTTTTTGTGGTTTTTGGTTTTGTTGCTTTAATCGATTTGCCGACTTCAAGGACCATTTGTCCTTGCACAATGAAATTTCAGCTTACTCTCATGTAAGGACCGAGCCTTAGCGCAACATCGGCCACACTCGAGGTAGGATTTTCTGTTCAGGGCCGGTCTGTGCCACAATCTGCCCTGTACGCGCCTTGTAGAATCCTGAGGGCAGGCATACATATGTGGGAAAGGGCGTACGATCAGCTGCGTAGGCATACAGGACGACTTCCGGGAACGGGAGATTCTGCACAGGAATCCATTTGTGTTCAGCTGCTAGCCCTTGTCAGCCTTGCGCGCTCAGTCAGGGCTACAACCAAAGGCAAGCAGATTGCCACCTTTGATACCAACCTTTTTGGCCAAAGTTGCGCTGTCAGGATTTCAAAGTGACCTTCCTCAGCTTCATCTGCAGTCCAAATTACAGGCGCAACTTCAGGTGCAAGCAGCTAATGCACCCACAACGTTGCCAAAAGGTTCAGAGCTTTTGTAGGTCGTGCCTTGTTTGCTGCCCTCTGAAAAGGGGAATTTTGTTTCGGAGCAGCAGATTTGTGAAGAAGACTTGAACCGGATTGTCTCAATGTGCCAGGCTCCGGACAGCAGGGCACCTGTGAGACCCAAGTATAGGGTGTCCCATGGTTAGAAGACCAGTTCATTGAGCAGATGGTGAAGTTTGGACACCCGACTGTGAAGTCAGGGCTGCCAGAAGTTCTGCAGTCGACAATCGAATTCTACCATGAAACAGGTTTGTAGGAGCGTTTGCAATACAGAGCTTCCAAGTTGGGTTTTTGGTTGCGACGCCTTGTCGAGCTCAAAGGTGATGAGCGCAAGCTGAAGGCATCCATGGATTGTGAAGTCGCCCAGATTCTCAGGGACAAGAGCCTCCTGTTGTGGGAGGAGATGCGCAAGTCGGTCAACTGTCCAGACATGGGTGTTGTTGATGAGTTGCGCAGTGGTACTGATTTGGTTGGAACTCTTGAGAAGACAGGGCTATGGCCTACAAAATTCCAGCCTGCGCTGGTGACCTTGGATGAGCTGCACGATATTGCAGTGCGTGAGCGTGCGGGTCTGCAACAGCAGTTTGCTGGTGTTGGTGGGGCTGAGTTCATCGATCAAGTCTGGGATAAAACTATGGAAGAAGTTAAGACTGGAATTTTAGAGGGGCCAATCCCTTTGCAAGAAATTCCTGCAGACCATCCCTTGAATCGTCGCTTTGGAACCCAGCAGGGACAGAAGGTAAGGTGGATTGATGATTTTTCTCGATCATCAGTGAACAGCAGTGTTCAGACGTGTGAGAGCCCAAAGCCTCACACAATAGATGTTTTTGCAGCGATGTGCGTACATTTGATGTTAGTGCTTTCTGGTGATGAGACTTGGGTTGGCAGGACGTTTGATCTTGTTGGGGCGTACAGGCAGTGCGCCGTGAAGCCATCCTCAAAGAAGTATGCCTACATCATTGTGAACAGCCGGTCACTCTTGAGCTTGTTGGTTTCAGGATGCGGGCCTTACCATTTGGCTCAGTGCCGTCAGTACATGCGTTTCTTCGAATTTCCCACAGTTTGTGGTATGTCTTGGTCCGGGAATTCCGAGTCCTTCTGACCAACTATTTCGACGATTTTGTCGCTGCAGCCCCACTTTCCGAGTGCAACTCAATCACCTCTTGTGTCCACATGTACTTCAAGCTTCTTGGTTGGGCTTTCTCAGAGGTCTGGTGATAAGGTTCCTCCATTTGGTGCTATGTTTCAAGCGCTTGGAGTCACTATTGACGTGTCGACGCTGCACAATGGTCTTGTCAACACGGAGAGCAGGCGTAAGGAGCTGGTTGAGTTCTTGGACTTGGTGATCGCACGAGGTCACATGACAAAGCAAGAGGCCTTGAGACTCAGGGGCCTGCTTCAGTTCACATCTGGGAATGTTTTTGGCAGGATAGCAAAATGTTCACTTACAGCTGTCTCGGATCATGCATACTCTTCCAGTTGGACCTCCCTTTCGGATGATGCAATACTTGCGCTTAAGTTACATAGGTGCTTGTTGAGTGCAGCCGTCCCAGGGCCCCAGGGAGCTCAAGCCATCGTCAGCTGAACGATGGTTCATTCAAACTGATGCGTGTGATGATGTTGATGGAAACAGTATTACAGCGGGAATTGGTGCAGTGCTCTTTAATCCTGCTGGCAAGCCAGTGTACTATTTTTCGCGCAGGTTGTCAGATGAGATGGTATCCGTACTCAACCCATCCGGCAAACGGACTGCGATTTTCGAATGTGAATTCTTCGCTTTGTTTTGCGTTTTCTTGCTTTGGGGAGATCATGTTACAGATGCGGTTGTGATCTACAACGACAACAATGGTGTTAGAAATTCTCTCATATCTTGCGTCTCTAGACATGTAACTGCGAAGAAGATCCTCGTTGCAACTATGGCATGGCGCTTGAGTGTACCAAACAAATCACACCCTGGTTTGCCAGGATTCCTACAGATTCAAACCTCTCACATGTACCTTCGCGGCGATTCTGTTGTCAGAAGGTGATTGACATGGGCGCTGCTGAGTGTAAGATGGAAGCTTCAGTTTGCTGGGATGAACTCACGGCACTCTATGAACATTGGGGGGAACAACAGGCCGTGTGACATCCCCAGCTTGAAAACAGATGAGTCTTCCTTGCGCAGCAGTTTTTTTGAGTGGAATTTGTGCCAAGGTGTTCACAGGTTTTTGACAGTTCAAGCATGTTGCACTGGCTCAGCAGCGGTTGCAAAAGTGATAATGCAGCGGTCAAACCTGATAGCGACTTATCACTGCATGCAAGATGTGGATGCACATCAGCTGCCTGGTTCAAACTGTCGTTTGTGATGAGTGCCTCATTGTCATGTTCAACATCAACGTCAGTTCAACTTCAATCCATGTCACCTCAGCTTCATACTGATTGTGGTCAATCATGTTTTTCTTTTTAGGTGAGTTGCAAACGGCCCCACTTTGGCAGTTTGTAACTCACCTTCTTGGCTTCACGACCTCTTCGTGCACACTCCTTGGTCCAATGCCGAGCTCAACATGTCGCCTGAATATCAGGCGTTGCTATGTCCGCGGAGCCAGACCCTGGTGCCTGAACAACAGGCCGTGTGACATCCCCAGCTTGAAAACAGATGAGTCTTCCTTGCGCAGCAGTTTTCCTTCAGTGCAATTTGTGCCAAGGTGTTCACAGGTTTTTGACAGTTCAAGCATGTTGCACTGTAAAGGGTTCACGGAGAAAATCTGGGAGGCTTTGGCGCAGTGGTTCCGGAGAAGGTTCCAGGAAGCCTTGGTGCAAAGCCAAGTCAGGTTCAACGGGTTCCGGGGAAGGTTGCAGAGAAGGCGGAGAAGGTTTTGGGAATCTTTGGTGAAGGGTCAGGTCGCGTTCAACGGGTTCAACAGGGTTTCCAGCGTTTGGCTTCGCGGCACGCTTCAGAAAGATTCGTAAAAATAAAACGTTGCGTTTCTTTTGCGGTTGTTGGGGATACCACCGAAACCTATTTTTTCCATTGTTTGATTTCCTGTTCCAGTCTTTTTTTATTGCCCCGAAACTTGGAATAATTCTTGATCCATTGCCATGATTTTGATTTGTGGACAATTTGCTGAAGACCTGCTCGCCAGTTGATTCTCACGAGGGAACTGAGTGATAACACCTTATCATGGCAGCAACAAGACCTGAGATGTCAGGTCGAGTTGATCAGTTGTTCATCGTATGTTTGTAGTTTTGGCTCAGCAACACTTTTTGTGTCAGATCGTTACCGTACTTGCCTGCCATGACGCCATGGCGTCTCATAGAAGAGCAAGTGTGAAACATTTGTGTTGCTTTTGGATCTTTGTCATTGTTGTCGGAAGCGCGCATAGAACAGAGGACTTGGCCACTGATTTCAATGTGGGTGAGACATGCAATTTCACTTTTTGTGTGCCTCCGGCGCATCAGCCCCTGGGAACTATGGGACAATTGTGCCAACGACTTCGAGGTCTTGACAAGACGCATTGACTCCCTGGAGACAGCTTCGGGAAATGCGTGGGGCTGCTGCTCCATCTCGCTCTGCAGGAGCTGTGTTTACCTGAAACTATAATCCTCACCTTGACCTTGACTGGGGGGAGAGCGTTCGGAGATGGAACTCTACTACACCTTTGTGGATGACATAGTGCTAAGGTTTATCTTTATGATCCAAACTGCGCTGACAATTTGCCAATTTGTATGGGTTGCAGTACAGAGGGCTTAGTCTGACTTTTGGCAACAAAAAAGAAAGATTGATGAGAAGGGAAGGGACGAGACTGGGACAGTGTGAATTTCATAGGACTGGCATGCGATCAATCAAGGAATCATGTGATTCACTTCCAGCTCACCAAATGTTGGTGGCGACTTGATTGTTGAATGCATGGTGACCCTGTGCTCCAGCCCGTAGCCATTTCCGGTATGGGTTGTCCGCTGTCCTGAGGCCCCCAAACCTTCTGCAGTAATTACAAGTGTTTTATGTATGTGTCCTGACTGGAAGTGTTTTGTTTTTTTATTTACCAAACACGTTCGATGAAACCACAATGTGTGGTCAATGTATGTCAATGTCAGGTGTGCCCTGAGACTGTTGGGTTGCGGACTCAATGTCGAGTCATGCAATGTGCATTGAATGTCTCAACAGTCTCAACCCAATGTGGGCACGTTCAGTCGATGTGACATTAGGCCCCTGTGGCCAGTCAGGTGCCAAGTTCACCGTCCGAATGTTTGGACACCATGTGACGGGTCATGTGCATGCACTTTCACATGTTTCTTGTCATGTTCACCTATCTGGATTTTCTTTGTAGAGTTTCCGCATGGCGTTTCAACGATGTTTTCCGTTCTTGTGCATGCCATTTTGTGTCCTGGGTGCGACATCAGATGTCATGACATGCCATGACTTATGTGTGTGCACATGTGAACTTGCCAGCAGGTTTTGGTGTGACCTTTTTCGGAAAAGTGTGTGACCCAGGTGTCAAATTGATGCGTGTGCATCTTCCACATGCTGGCATTGACCGCATGTAATCCAAGTCGTGCATGTGCACGCGCCTAGGCCATCCATTGGCGATTGAACTGCCGCTGTTTCGGAGCGTGTGCTCCCAAGACGGTGGCAGGAAAAACCTTCACACTTTCATAAAGTGTGAAGGTTTTTCCCGTCTGATCTTCCACATGTTGGCATTGACCGCATGTAATCCAAGTCGTGCATGTGCACGCGCCTAGGCCATCCATTGGCGATTGAACTGCCGCTGTTTCGGAGCGTGTGCTCCCAAGACGGTGGCAGGAAAAACCTTCACACTTTCATAAAGTGTGAAGGTTTTTCCCGTCAGAATTGACCATTTAGATTTGTCTGAAAACCATGTGCCACAAACTTCCTTCGATGAATATAATTTTGCCATGCAAGCCTCCGGAAGATAGGTGCATCTGAGTTTACACTCTTGACACCATGATTCTATAGGTGTCACGACTGTCGAGATTTGCGGTGTGCATCTCAGACGGATGTCCATGTGGGCAGTTTGCATCTTCCTTATTTCTCCCATGCCATGGCCTCGTGAACTGGCAAATTTTCTTTCTTCCTTTTCCCCCACCTTTTTGGTGTGTACTCCCCAAGATAATTTCTCGGGGCATCCCTGTTGGTTTAGGTGGCCTTGAGGACTGGAGGCCATTGGTACGCAGTCACTGAATGTATGTTGCCACAATCTTTGATTAGTTTTTCGGTTGTTTTTAAACATTGATTTCATCGTGTCTTGTGTGTTTTGCCAGGCACTACATGGGTGGACAACTTGGTGTCTACAACATCGAGCAAGGCGATGAGAGGAGTGAGCCGCATGGTGAGGCAGCTGAGATCTCCCCAGAGTTTAGACAGAGAATGCATGATGCCATAAACGATGCGCATGCAATCAGTGCCAGACCTTCAGACTTGGTCATGCCATGGGAAGAACCATCAATGTCATGGGTGTTTGGTGAACGTGATCCATTTTCAATTCCGGATGTGACTCCAGTTTGGGGGTACGTAGAGCCTCAACATGAACCAGAAGACACCCGACCTGGACGTGGAGTGCCCGTCATGGACAAACCAACTGTTTTTGAAAGCGCAATATCATTCAACTCCTTTCGCACCTGCCATCTTAGTGAGAGCGACCAATTGGCCATTCTGGCACAGAAGTGGGAGGCCCTTATTTCAATAAACTACTCTGCGTTTGATCTCGGAATCCAGATTTTTGATGTGGAGTATGCTGAGAGGGTCAAGATTGTGTCAGAGGTTCTCGGAGGAAAATCTCCCGCGACCTTATGCGGAAGGCTGTCACAGGTGGCTAGATTTGTCAAGTGGGCCACCAATGACGCAAAGAGTGACCCTTTCCAGTCTCGGCTGAGTTGATCAAGAACTACATCAGGCACCTCAGAAACGATGGGTCTGGGCACACCGCCTACAAGGGCTTTGCCGAGGTGCTCAAATTTATGAAGCATGTTGTTGGCCTTGACTGTGACTTGACAGCATTTGATTCAGCTTGGGTCAGTGGGATCATCAGAACTGCTCAGCAGGAGAGACCCTTGAGACGGCAGTCAGCCACTTTGAATGTGAAAACTCTCCAACCTGGAGGCTTACCTCTGCAATGAGAGGCATGCTTTGGTGGACCGCTATGCAGCGGGCGTCTTTCTGTTTGCGATATACTCCAGGGCCAGGTTTGGAGACTTGCGGAAGATTGCAAGGGTCCTTTTTGACGAGGCAACTGGTGTCAATGAAACTTCACTGGGCTTCATTGAAATGCATTCGGAGTCCCACAAGATGAGGGCAACTGGGAACAGACTTGGTGCACACCTTCCTTTGATAGCACCCATCAAAGGTTTGAGTGAGATAGCCTGGGGTCTGGAGTTTGCGAAGGTATCAAAGCTTGTTGTGCTTGATGTCAAGTCTTGGGCCAAGGGGAATCCCTTGCTTCCAGCACCTACACATATCGGGGACTGGACTGACAGATCGGTTACATCTTCAGAAGTTTGCAAGTGGATTCATGGAGTTTTACAGTCATGTCATGACTTCGAGCCGACTGGTTTTACACCACATGGCTGCAAGGCTACAACACTCATCATGCTTAGCAAGTATGGTGCATCCCCCGAGGATCGTTTGATTTTGGGACACCACCAACTCAATCGTGGTGCGCTAGAGGTCTATGCCCGTGACCTCCAGAGCTCACCATTACGGGTCCTGGAACAGATGTTTGCCGATATCAGGGGCGGAAGATTCTCTCCGGACACCACCAGGTCTGGGATGTTCACACCGGTCCCAAACCAAGTGATTGTGGAAAGCACAGGCATAGATGGAGTTCGGAGCCCAGTCGCTGTTAGCGTGAACCCAACACCAACATCTCCAGCTGATGACACGCAGGAGACATCAGAACATGCCTTCTCTGCCAGGGAACCTGTACAAGGTCCAGAGACGGTTGCCGATGCCATGCCGCTGCAGAGGTTGACTTCTGAGAGCAATGTTAGTGATGATTCAGAGTCGGAGTTTTGCTCTGATGAGTCTGATGCAGAGGAGGTCATCAGGGACATGGCCACAAGCCAGAGACCGGCTGGGCACTGGCATCCAGGGTGCAGTTTGTATCAGCACGGCAGATCGAAGCTTGTGCATGCACTGTCAACATTCGGGCACAGGACAGCTTTTGTTTGTGGCAGGCCCCTCAGCAAAGAGTACAAGCCTTTTCATGCCAGATTCTTTGTAGATGCCTTGAAGTGCCAGCAATGCAACAAGGGTCAGGTGCAGACCCCTGAGGGGGAGCGTGCGGCAGTCGCTGGAGCGGCAGTGAAGCGGGCCCGTAAAGGATGACCCAATATGTGGAGAAAAGCATGTCGCTGCAACTGTACGCATTGTACGTGAGCCTGCATTCACAATCCTTGCATGGTCTACACTTCTGACTGTGCGCATTGTACGTGAGCCTGCATTCACAATCCTTGCATGGTCTACACTTCTGACTGTGAAATTTTACCTGCAGGTCTTTTGGCCAGGTTTTTGAAGATGTCTCGACAGCATTCAAGTGCAAGATACAAACATGACACATGACATTTACCAGCTGGTTCTTTTGTTTTATTTTTATTTTTCAACTCGTAGCTGCTGGTGGCATGGCAACGATCCTTGAGTCGGAGGCAGCATTCAATGCACGGGCCTTGGAACACGGCTTGACAAGGGCACAGCTTGAACGACTACAGAACCAGGGCCTCACCAATCTTTCCAAGTTAGCTTTCTCCTTGACGACGCCTGGAACAGTGCCTCCTGACGACGCCTTGAAGGGGCTCTTGGCCGATAACCTGGATGAGGTTACTATTGGCCAGCTTAGTTCGATCAGGAGGCTTATGTTTGACGCACAAACCCTATGTGCGTCCCAAATGAAAACTACAATCAGTGGTGCTGACCATGGTCGAAAGGCCGAACTTGTGCCTGCAGAACGTGCCACAAGGATCCAGCAACAAAGGACCCGTCTTCAGGGCATGGAACTCACAGGACCTCTTGAATGTGCCCACTCATCCTATGACTACGTGGCAAAAATGTTGGAGGCAGATGTCCCAATGTATCTTGAGCCTCATCGTTTTACCACAAGGGCAAGTGAGGTTGCCCGCGAGCGTCCTGGCAAAGAGTTGGTGCTGGATAACATCAACCTCACGGTCAAGGACGTGGAAAGGAAAGACAAATGTCAAATCAGTAATGAACTTCAGCTGCATCAGGCACTTACCAGGCGCTCTTTGGCTTGCGATCTGATGCAGGCATGCTCTTTCCGGAACATGGAAAAATGGCACAGGCATCTCCTTGATCACCTTCAGTTGCCATCGCCTCCAGGATTCCGCCAACCTACCATGGAGCAAGTCCTCAGGGCAGACCGAACAGCCTGGGTCAAGATGGCCGAAAAGGTCACTACCTTGAGGCGCCAGGCGATGGATCCTTGCCACTGAACAGAGCGCTAGACGAACTTCCAGCAGATCCATCCATCATGTTCCACTTGATGCCCTTGCCGGTTGACAAGAGTACATCGACGCCCAAGCACACCGAGCCAAAATCCACGGCTGGCTCTGACCAAGGCCCTCCAAACATCCGGAAGAAGGACAAGAAGGTCAAACAGGCCAAGGGCAAGGGCAAGGGCAAGACAAAGGCCAGCAACAAAGGTCGTATGCCCTCCGAGCTCATTGGGCTGCACCAGCAGACCAAATCTGGGAAAAGGATGTGTTACAACTTCAATCTTGAGAAGGGCTGCAACCTTGCGGCTGCAGGACAAGAGTGCGGACGTGGACTTCATCAATGCATGCGATGCTTTGGGGCCCACTCGGCCCACCAGTGCAACTCTGCACTGGCTTGACAATCTCAGGAAGGACTGTGCCTACCTCAGCCAGGCCAGTCCGCAGCCTCAAACAACCAGGTTGAGACCAACAAGCTTGACCAAGGGGCCAAGCGAAATTTTGAGACAATTTCTTTTTCCGAGCAGTTTTCCAGGAGGGTGCAAGACAAGTCAATTTCAAACCTTCTTTTCATAGAAGTCTTTTCGGGTACAGCAGGCCTCACGGCCGAAGTTCGACGCCTTGGCTGCCAGCACAGTACTGGTGTTGATGCCCACGTCACAAAGCAGGTCAAGGCGCCAGTGCTCCGTTTGGATCTTTCAGATGAATCTGGGCAAGCTTTACTTTGGCGGATTCTTCAACAACCCAGAGTTTTTGCAGTTCACCTAGGCCCACCTTGTGGAACTTCATCGAGAGCCAGGGAAATTAAGAGGCGTTTTGGCCCCAATCATGTCCCTCTTCGAAGTGACCAATTTCCAGACGGCTTGAATGGTTTGTCTGGTCGAAACCAAGCACGTGTTACCACTGCCAACATTTTGTACCAACTCAGCGGTGAAATCATGGCATATTGCACCATGCATGGCATCATTTGCAGCCTTGAGAACCCGGCCAGATCCCATATGTGGAACACCTCATTCTTGTGCAGGCCGTTGGAGCCAGTCAGACACATGCTGGCAGAGGTGTTGTTTCATCACTGCATGTTTGGAGCCAAACGCCGCAAGAGTACAAAGTTGCTGGTTAACCATAACTGCTTTCAACACCTGTCCCGGAGTTGTGATGGTTCACACGAACACGACAGATGGGGTCGCAACCCGCAAGGGTGGGCCACTGCCCTTGAAGTTGAGTATCCTCACGGGCTTTGCCGTGAGTGGGCAGCTTGTTTACGTCAAGCCCTCCTGGCTCATGGCGCCTCTGACGTGCCTGTTGACATGCAGCTAGACACTGATGCTAGCCTACACCATCGTGCTCAGGCAGTTCTTGGCAAGCATGTTCGTGGCAAGCGCCTCAAACCATTGATGCGTGAATATGACCATATTCTACATGTAGTGTGCCCCCATGACTTGATCCATGCCTTGCCATCAACTTCGAAGCAGCCACAAGTCATTTCACCAAGCTGCTCTACGTCTCCCCCTACAACAGTGTTGCCACCACATGCCAAACGACTACAAGCCCCTATTTTACAGGGGGATGGAGAGGGGCAAGGACAATTTTGGAAAGTGGAATACGGGATTGCTTGGACTCCAGAAAATTTTGTCCAACGTGCTGCAGGCTTATCGCATCCAGGACATTTTCTGGATGGTGTCCATTCTGTTTTGGCTAGATACCTGGAAAAGATGGCCAAACAATCCTTGCATGACCTGGCTCTTGAAAGGACTTCAGCCATGAGGAAATGGACTCTCAGGTTTGAAGAGCTAAAACGACAAGGAGTGGACGGCCTTGAGTCATCACCACCCCATGCAAAGGAGATCCTCAAGAGCAAAAACTTATGCCTTTTTGCGGAGGCATGTGCCTCGCTTGTGCACCTGAGAAATGTCTCGCTTGTGCACCTGGAAATCGTCTCGCTTGTGCACCTGAAAACTTCCACTTCTACCTCTACTTGCACCTCTCTTTCTACTTCCACTTCTACTTCGACTTCCACGTCTACATCTACCACCACCTTTATCTCTACTTCTACTTCTACTTACAATCCCACTTCTACTCCTACTTGCAACATGCGGCTTCTCCACGTCCCTTAAAACTTAAAAACAATATTTTCCATACTACTGAAAAAATGGAACCAAAAAGTACAGTCCATAGATGTTCATACTTGTTTTTTTTGTGGCAAGCATTGAACGGCTGGGTGTAGCAGCCACAATTTGTCTGGACATAGCATTTCAGAAGCCGGTGCCTGAACGCGGCCCGGGGAGAATTGTTTGGGAAATCAGGTGTTCGATATGTTTGAAACTCATCACATGTTTGAAACAACAAAGATACGGTTGGCAAAGTGCCATGTGTCAAGTTTTCTTGTACAAAACAGATTTTTTCTTTACCATGATGTGGGTTTGAAAAAAGACAATGGCATTGCAAGCTGATGCCCATTCCCCAAAAGCCTTGGTCCGCATCAGCCGCCGCGCAAGTGGCGGTGTCAATGCAGAAAAAACACCGGCGACAGGCACAAGTAGTCTGTGGCTTTTTGCAGGCCGATGGCAACACTGGCACAGTCGGAGAGGAAGTAGATATAGTACAGGTCGAGAAAAGTACAAATAGACCAACAAGTTTTTTTCATCATTCTATGTCATGGACAATTTGGTGATGGCCTGACACTGTCGGTTCAGGATGATGAATTGTTGTTCATATTACATAAATGCCTATGCGAAACGTGTAAAATTATAATAGCAATAAGCACTTATCCTGAAAGATCACTGCCTGTGTCAAGAAAGATGATGAGGTTGCTGTGCCTGTGGGTGCACGGGAACATGAACGTTCTTATCCCACCCCACCCCACCCCACCCCACCCCACCCCACCGGTCACTTATCTTGAAAGATCACTGCCTGTGTCTGCAGGACAGCAAGAAAGATGATGAGGTTGCTGTGCCTGTGGGTGCACGGGTGCCTGTGGGTGCACGGGAACATGAACGTTATTATCCCACCCCACCCCACCCCACCGGTCACTTATCTTGAAAGATCACTGCCTGTGTCTGCAGGACAGCAAGAAAGATGATGAGGTTGCTGTGCCTGTGGGTGCACGGGAACATGAACGTTATTATCCCACCCCACCCCACCCCACCCCACCATCACTGCCTGTGTCTGCAGGACAGCAAGAAAGATGATGAGGTTGCTGTGCCTGTGGGTGCACGGGAACATGAACGTTATTATCCCACCCCACCCCACCCCACCATCACTGCCTGTGTCTGCAGGACAGCAAGAAAGATGATGAGGTTGCTGTGCCTGTGGGTGCACGGGAACATGAACGTTATTATCCCACCCCACCCCACCCCACCCAACCACCCCACCACACCTAGGTGCGCAAGTGAGTGATTTTCCAGGTGCGTAAGTGAGTGAATTTCTCAGGTGCGCAAGTGAGTGAATTTCCAGGTGCGCAAGTGAGTCACGTCCCTTTTGCGGAGCTCATCGAAGCGTCTGGGTCGCCGGATGTTACCTTGGCATCAGACATCGCAAGAGGATTTGATCTGATGGGGTCCATCCGTACGGGGGGCGTGTTTCCCCACAAGCCGCTGTTTGCAACTTTGCTCCCTGAGCAGGTCAGGGAGATGTCTGGCATGGCCAGGATTGCAACTTGGAATGCGGTCAGGAGAGGCAGAGATAATGAGATGTGCCAAGAAATTTTTGATGCAACCATTGAGGAGTGCGACAAGGGTTGGATGCGTGGACCTTTCAGCATTGAGCAGCTTCCTGAGAGCTCCATCTTAACTCGCCGCTTTGGCGTGAGGCAGTCAGCAACACTGGCAGATGGAAGCAAGGTCGTCAAGTTTCGGCCCATCGATGATTTCTCTGAGTCTCTGATCAATACAACAAACTCATGCGATGAGTCCATCCAGCCGATGGGTGTGGATGCGATTTGTGCCACTTTGGTCAGGAGGATGCAGTCTCGCCCGGGGGACCAGTTAGTTTGCAAGACTATTGATCTCCGAAAGGCTTACAAAAACCTTCCGTTGTCAGAAGCGGCGCTGGATGATGCATACATCTGTGTTTACTCACCGGCTGACGGGGCGCCCCGGGCTTTCCAAACGCTGGTGCTCCCATTTGGAGCGCGATCAGCTGTCATGGGTTTTTGCCGCACATCTTACGCCATCTGGCGCATAGGTGTGGTGGTGTTCAATCTGCATTGGACGGTTTACTTTGATGACTTTTTCTTGGTGGCCGAAATCTACGAGTCTAAACATGTTGACCTAGCACAACGGCTTCTTTTTATGGTTACTGGTTGGCAAACGTCAGATGAGAAAGAAGGTGGATTCAGCTCCATTTCAAGAATCCTGGGCGTGCAGATCGACCTGGGAGACTCTCATTTGGCTTCTGTTACCATTTCCAATGTTGAAAGCAGGGTGCGTGAGCTGACAACGACGATAGATGACTTGTTGGCAAAGGGTAGCATGACCACTGCTGAGATGAGGGCCCTCCGTGGCCGTCTGGTTTTTGCAGAGGCCCAGATTTTTGGCCGTCTTGCAAGTGTCCACATGAAACGGCTGTCCAGACTTGAAAGCCTGGTTGGGGAGGTTGCCATTGACCAGGAACTTGGTGAAAGTTTGATGTTTCTCAAGGACCGGGTCATCACTGGCGGCCCTCGACGGGTACTTGCATCAGTTGGCCGTGTTTTTTCTTTATACACAGATGCATGTTTCGAGGAATCTGTGGGTGGTGTCGGAGGCGTGTTGTATGACCGGAATGGTGTCATGCTATCCTTCTTTTCAGAGCAGCTTCCTGCTGGTCTAGTGGACCTCTTGAACCCATGCCAGAAACAGAACTTAATTTTCGAGTTGGAGGCACTCGCAGTGCTTATGGGTGTGTCGTCTTTGCTTGATCCTTTGGCAATACAGCCGTGTGACCGTATTGTGATTTTCATTGACAACAACTCGGTGCTTGCGAGGCTGATCTCTGGCTCAGTTGGTACTGGAGTCGACCGCTTGATCTTTGAAGGGATTTTGCTTTGGGAGTTCACCGTGTGTGCGGTGACTTGGTTTGAAAGGGTGGCTAGCCATGCAAATGTTGCAGATGAACCCTCCAGGGGTGTTTACAACCACCTTGATGAAAGGTGTAGGATCAATGTAGATCCTGACATGTTTGTCAATGACCTCTTGGCTCGCTCTAGAGCAGGTCAACAAAATGGGGGGCTGGCACCTGCAGCAGAACTCCCCAAGCGTTAAAAAGATGTGTTGCTGTGCACTGAGCAACTGTTGCAAGAATGGTAAGTTGATTCTCACGAGGGAACTGAGTGATAACACCTTATCATGGCAGCAACAAGACCTGAGATGTCAGGTCGAGTTGATCAGTTGTTCATCGTATGTTTGTAGTTTTGGCTCAGCAACACTTTTTGTCCCTCCTACCAACCCCTTTGTCACCTCCTGTTTTTTTTTCCAATGTCCAATACATTTTATTTTGGGCATTTGCATTCTCTCATCTGTACATCATTTTTCTGACTCATGCTGGCTGTCCTCCGGCCGCTGACCCGTCGCTGCAAGAGCTGCTGCAGCCATTGATTCATCTTGACCGGCAACTGCAACTTGCTGCTTCCGTGGTTGATCAGCTCAAAGACTTAGAAGATGGACTTGAAACCATGCAGCTCCCAATGTGCTCCCTTTGGTGCGTCGATGTATCCAATGGCTTGAACGCGGCATACACGAAATGCGACTGTACCGCTTCCTCCTCTTTTACCAGCTTCCAAGGGCCTTGCAACTCTCCTTTCAACGGCATCAGCGACCACCATTGATGGATTTAGATTTCAATTGAATGTGGAAGGACATCCAGTTCTTGAATCCATTTTTTTTTCTCGATTTGCGGTGCCTACCCAGCCGTTGGCTGGCACCTGCAGCAGAACTCCCCAAGCGTTAAAAAGATGTGTTGCTGTGCACTGAGCAACTGTTGCAAGAATGGTAAGGTAGTTGGAATTTGATCGTTTGATTGCAGCAATGAAGAACATCAACATGTATTTGGTTTCGTTTTTATTTGCATTGCAGGTCGCTGCTGTGTTGAGCATTGATGGGTTTGGTTCAAACGCAATCATGTGGCACCAGTTTGCCGGGCGTCTTGTCAAATTGTGACAAAATACAATTTTTTTAAACACCATATGACATTTCAAACATGAAAAAATAGTGCGAATTATGAATTGCCAAGATTATAAATACCAAAGGAAACATTGTTGTGGATAGGGTGCAATTCCTGCAATCACTTGATGGTTGGGACTTGCACTCCGAGATCAGGGAAGGCTGGGATTGGGAGTTCCACAACTGTGTTGTTTTTTCGCAAACAATGCTTCAATCTGTTTCAATTGGATCAACAATTTTTTCAATTTTAATGGGGGTGGCACTTTGGCAAATGATTCCAAATGCAATTGGTGCAAACATATTTTGTTTTCCAATCTATTTTAGCATTGAGGAACCATCCATGGCTTCAATTTGGTAACATCAAGGATTAGTATGAATTTGTCGTGCAGAAAATCCCGTACCGTGCAATGCCGCCCAATTTTTCTTTTCACCAGTCAGGGCACCGATTGTTTTTTTTTTACATTGTTTTCCGATATATACATCCATGTTTTTCGATGTTTTTCCGTGCAATTTGAGGCCAATGTGCACGACATTGAAAGCAACGCGGTTGGGTCGGTGACGGTGGTTCGCTGAGTTTTCAAGGGATAAATTGTCGTATGGAGGCACGGCAATGTCAATTTGCCATTGCGGAACACTGAAATTGGTACCAGAAATGGATTGAATTTCCAAGTCACACTGCGGTTTGATCATGCGGATGATGTAACCTCTAAAAATCGAAACGCTTTTTGTAACCAACTTGGAATCATCCTTGGTGTGGTCGGTCTGGTCCCGAATTTGCCAGTTTGAGGTGTGAAATTTGATGCCTGACGTGAGCAGGCTATACGAGAGTCATGCACTGTTTCATTGGCTTTTGGATCTGGATGCGAGAGTCGTGCATTGTTTCATTGATTTCTAGATCTGTCCGATTCCAGTTCGATATTGCATTGAACGCAACTTGCTTGCCATGAAAAAATAAATAAATTTTCGATAATGTTCGTTTCACTTGTTTTTTTCTCTTGTTTGTTTTTCGAGGTTTCTGAACAACCATGTATTTCAGCATGGTTCCACAGCCAGGTCTCAATTGGCTCGCTTGGATCATGTTTGCAAAGTTGAGACCTCAGATGATTTTGGTTGGTTCCCCAAAAGATCATGCCGGAATTCAAAACAACAGTGACTGTTGAGTTTTTTTCCGGCTTTGGAAGCGGTGCCTTATTTTTTCCTGAATCCAAAAACCAGAATGGAACCGCAACGCTGGATCTCTGGAACCTGGTATTAGGTTGCAGAGCTCGGTTACTGTAATGTATATATGTTTTCTCCCCAATTATTAAAGCACCTGTTTGTTTTTGACTGTTTGTCTCAACCCTTGAATATGTCAACACCCAGGCCTTCATGTCGGAAGCCATGGGCCGCAGCCGCCGTGGAAGGAGGTGGGCCAAACAAAATTGTCTTAACGTGACGTGGCGCTTTTGAGAAATGCAATCGTTCTTTTATGCTGCACCAGTGAATCTACCTACCTGGCAAGGTCACCATGACAGTAGCTGGTTTGAAGGAAACATGCAGAACCATGCCTACAGGGATGGAGGCTTGTTCATCATTCTAGACTCTAGACTCTAGAGACTCTAATTTCGATTTTGGAGAATGCAACTGGTTACAAAATCAGTAGAAACAGAAACGTCTTGAAGAGCAGGATTAAACATGGATAAACATGGATAAACATGGATAAAAATGGTAAACATGGATAAATTATCCCATGGATAAACCACGATAAACCGATATGCCGTGATATGTTTGGTGTGATCTTAAGGTCTGGCAAGAAGTCCTCTAGGTCGTTGCCAAAAATCGTCCCTTGGCCAACGCCTGGCCAACTTGGCCATGGCAATGAGTCATGTCACATGCCGGTTGGGAGAGTGATGTGGTTGTGGTAATATGGTAATCTGGTACTGTGGTAGTGTGGCTGTGTGCGTTTCATTTTCATGAAACTCCTGAATTGAATGCGGGCATTTTGCAAGCAACTTGTGCGATGCAAAGTTTCACAGGTTTTCTCTCAATCCATTTTATGATTGGATGCTTCCAGCTCGGCACCTTCAATCAGTACGTAGCATTTACTGAGAAACGCATTGGGTCTGGTCCAATTTCCAGGCAGCTATGATGCAGCCCGAGGTGCTGGACTGGGTTCGATTCGACATGACAATCCAGAGAGTGCATGATAATATAATATAATATAATATAATACAATATAATATAATATTATATTATATAATATAATAATAAAATATAATAATATAATATAATATAATATAATATAATAATATAACATAATATAATATAATATAATATAATACAATCAACAATATAATAATATAACATAAAATAAAATAATATAATATAATATAATATGATATAATATAATATGATATAATATGATATAATATAACATAATATGATATAATATGATATAATATAATATAATATGATATGATATGATATGATATAATATAATATATATATATATACATACACATAATAATACGTATAATAATAATACATATAATAATAATACATATAATAATAAAACATATAATAATATATATATATATCTATATTATACTATACTATACTATACTATACTATACTATACTACAATATAATATAAGATAATAGAATAGAATAGAATATAACATAACATAACACATATAATATAAATACCATATACTACTATACTGTACTATACTATACTATAATATAATATAATATAATGTAATATGATATAATAATATATATATATATCATATTATATGTAGTATAATATTATATTATATTATATTATAGTATAGTATAGTATAGTAAAATATTTATAGTATATTATATTTATACTATATGTATGATGTTATATTCTATTCTATTCTATTCTATTATATTATATTATATTATATTATATTATATTGTAGCATATTATATTATATTATGTTATATTATGTTATATTATGTTATATTATACTATACTATATTATATTGTAGTATAGTATAGTATACTATATATATTATGTATTATATTATATATTAAATGTATTATATTATATTATATTACATTATATGATATGATATGATATTATATTATATTATATTATACATATTGAAATTAGTTGAGAAATCATGCACTTTCTGGATTGTATATATATATATATATGTATCAATTTTACAATATATATATATGTCAAAGGGAACTCAGTAACAACACATGAACAACATGTGTCATGTAAATAGCAATTGCATGGGACGCCATATTGGCTCAAGCGCCCATTGTGAGGAAAACAGTTGCGCTCCGCGTGTCATGTCTTGAAGGGCTCGGCGACATCCAGCACAACAGGTACGATCAATTGAAACGGTATCCAGGACAAGGATCTATTTGTTCACAGGTTATCAGCCGTAAGGGCTCACTTCTTCCGTCGGAAGAGGAGTACCTGCGTGCCGGGCCGTCTGAGCTAAAGATTGTGAACGCAAAGGACCAATCAGCTCATCGTCGCAAAGATGCAGGGCGGCAGCGGAGATTCGCGCAACACGCAGTTTACCTTCAATGAGAACACTGCTATGCCGGTCGAGGAGGTCACTCAATCTTCCCCTGGCGACACGGCAGACAGTGGTGGGATACGCTCTACCCGAACTACACAGTCCGGATGGCAAGTTACATCAAACAGACGAAGAATATCCACCCAAAGTACACCAAGATCTTCTCGAAACAGTGCTCGAAGTGATGTTGTCCGTCAAGGGCATCGACCATCTCGAGGACGAACTACCCCAAGGGACAGATCCACCAGGGCCGTAACCGACCGAATTGGTGAGAGGACCGGGGACAGTCGTGTTAAGAGGAGATCAACGGATACTTCTGTGGCTAGTGAACCTATTGCCATGATAGAAGAACTACGGGCACAATGTCAATCCCTACGTAATCAGTTGAACCACATGGAAGCATATGCTGCATCAAGAGATCAACTGATTCATGACATCGAGATCAGATTCACTGAGTATCTTCAGGAACACAACCAGAATGTATTTGATGAGGTCAATGCACTCAATCATAGATTGTCATGTTCCGCAAATGAGGTTGCAGAATATCAAGCAGAACT